TGGTGGTCTCGCGGGGCGCCGGGCGTCTCTTGTGCGACTGCTGGGTATCAGGTGGCATCGGGGAGGCGCGAACTGAGGCCTGGGGAGGTGCTCCTATAGCCTGGACGCGCGACGATGGCCTGACGAGGCACGGCAGCCGGGTGGTGGCGAAGGGCTGAGCGCGGCCGATTAAAAAAATAACGAGAGAGGGGGAGAGGGCGGGAGAGAGATCGGGAGAGTGAGGGAGAGAGATGGGAGTGGCGGCTGGAAAAATGAGGGTGAGGGGAGGGATGATCATCTCCCTTATATAGGGCTAGGGCTTGTGACTTACCATACAAGTCACTTGCCCTAATTAACACCACCACACAAAAGGAAGGAGGGAGGGGTGTGCGCGGCTCACGGATGCGCGGCTTACGGGCGCGCGGCTTCGGCTCGAACATGCTCGGACGACGAGAATAAAATAATAATTAAAATATTTAAATTAATATTTAATATAAAAATACCGAAAATAATATATATATAATAAACACAATTAGGCACATAAAAATTATTTAAGCATTTAGACAATTAACAATCACTAATAATAGCCACAGATAATGATAATAATATTAATAATAATAATAATAATCCAAATTATTCATAAACGAACGGGGCGTTACAATGATCTATACGGCGGACGATGCAAGATTTTCACCGATCATAAAAGCCTACAGTATATTTTCACTCAGAAGGAGCTCAACATGAGACAACGCCATTGGTTAGAACTCGTTAAGGATTATGATTGCACGATTCAGTACCATCCGGGGAAAGCGAATGTCGTTGTTGATGCCCTAAGCCACAAGGTGAAGGGTGACTTGACGTATGTCGTTACTCAACAGAGACAATTGATTCAGGAGTTCGCCCGGATGTAGATTCAGGTGGTTGATGCACTTCCTACAGTCATTACGGGGAGTATTAGTTCTATGCAGGTTCAGCCGACACTGAGAGAGAGAATCCGGCGGGAGCAAGCGTCTGACGAATTTGTTAGTGTCATTGATGCTAAAGTCCACGCCGGAGGTGTCGAGGGTTTTTACCGTGGCACTGATGGGGCCTTGGAATTTCGAGGCAGGATTGTGGTGCCAAAAGTCAAGGCATTGAGGAAGGAGATCTTGACGGAGGCTCATACCGCACCATATCTAGCCTATCCAAGAAGCACAAAGATGTATCATGATCTGAAAAGGGCGTTCTGGTGGAGAGGTTTGAAGAAAAACGTAGCCAACTTTGTAAGAAAATGTCTAACCTGTCAGCAAGTCAAAGCCGTACACAAGAGTCCTATAGGCCTTCTGCGACCACTGCCGATTCCGAAGTGGAAGTGGGAGGAGGTTACGATGGATTTCGTCACGGGGTTACCAAGGTCGTCTGAACATCACGACGCTATTTGGGTCGTGATCGACAAATTCACTAAGGTTGCTCATTTCTTGCCAGTATCGATGAATATGTCTTTGGACAAGTTGGCTGAGATTTATGCCCGTGGGATTGTTCGACTCCACGGAGTGCCTATTACTATTGTGTCAGACAGAGATCCCAGATTCACCAGTAGATTCTGGCAGAGTTTGCACAAGACGATGGGCACGAAACTATCATTCAGTTCAGCCTACCATCCAGAGACTGACGGTCAGACAGAGCGAACTATTCAGCTGTTAGAGGATATGTTGAGGGCTTTGGTTGTTGACAGGGGTGCTAAGTGGGAGTCGTTGTTACCGTATGTTGAGTTCGCGTACAACAACAATTATCATTCTTCTATTAAGATGGCTCCTTACGAGGCACTTTACGGTCGTAAATGTCGTTCCCCTCTTTATTGGGACGACGTCGGCGAGCGTCGAGTACTCGGTCCGAAATTGATCGAGGAGACGGAAGAACAGGTCGAGTTGATCAGGCAAAGACTCAAGACAGCTCAGAGTCGATAGAAATCTTCAGCCGATCAACATTGACGAGACATTCAGTTCGAGGTTGGCGAGCGAGCTTTTCTCAGAGTTAGTCCATTTCGCGGTGTTATTCGATTCGGGAAGGGAGGGAAGTTACACCCTCGATTCATTGGCCCGTTCGAAGTACTCGAGCGAGTGGGCGACGTTGCGTGTCGATTAGCCTTACCTCCCGGGTTATCCAACGTTCATAATGTTTTTCATGTATCTATGTTACGCAAGTACGTGTGCGACCCCGATCATGTTATTCCTCATACTGATATTCAGATCCATCCAGATTTATCTTACGAGGAGCGACCGGTAGCTGTGTTGGACTGACAGGTTCGACGGCTCCAGAAGCGTGATGTTCCCCTCGTCCGTATTCAGTGGGATCGCCACAGAGCCACTTGGGAGCAGGAGGCTGATATTTGCACTCGTTTTCCCGATTTTCAGTTCTGATGTATATGTTTCGTCTATATATGTCCCGTTTTGTATTTTCGAGGACGGAAATATTTTAAGGGGGGCAGATTGTAATACCCCGTCATGATTATTAATGTAATATCATGTTTAGTTCCGAAATACTTATTTTATTAAGCGTTATTGTTTGAAACTATTTATTCAAGTCAAGGAACGTTCAAATTAATTTTTGATATCACGCTTATGTTCGGAATAATTTTCTAATAGTTAATTCATGTTTAACCACTCGATAAATATTTTACCGAGCTTAATTATCTTCGATCATATGTTAATTATCGAGTATAATCAAGATAACATGTTAATAGTATGATTAACTAAGCTTAAGCATGGGTTGAGCATAGCATTAGCATGGGCGTGCTTAGCTAACACTAAGTGTAATACCTCATTCGATTGTGGATTTTTGGAGTTATTATTTATTTTTTCCTTATTATTATTTGTCCTATTTATTATTATTATTATTATTATTATTATTATTATTATTATTATTATTATTATTATTATTTGTTAATGTGAATATTGTTATTATTATTACTCGATATTTATTTGTCTAATTGCTTTTAAATGTTTTCAATGTTTGTTATTATTATTATTATTAAATAAATATTATTGTTATTTAATTAAATGTCTAAATTGGCTAATTGTTTATATGTGTATTACTATTAAATAATATAATGTGTTTAATTGAGTATTAGTAATAATATTAAAATGTGTGTTATTTATATATATAATATCCGATTATTTTTTTTTTATTTTCTCGTTTCGTTAGAATTTATTCGAGACCAATAATTGGTCGTTTTCGCATCCAATTCTATAGCCCCTTTAATCTATTTCGTTCGGCCCAAATCGAACTTATATTTTTCTGGCCCAATTGCGATAAAATCTCGGCCCACTTAAAACCTAGTTTTAATTATAGTGAATCCTCTTTTCTCTTCTCGTACATCACGCGTAGTCTCCCATCTCTCTCTCTCTCTCTCTCTCTCTCTCTCTCTCTCTCTCTCTCTCTCTCTCTCTCTCTCTCTCTCTCTCTCTCTCTCTCTCTTCAAACACCCCCAACTATTCCTATCAATCGCGAACAGGAGCAGAAAATCTCACCTCTACCCTGAGATCGACCACCCCGATGATGATCCGTGATTTGACCTCGAAACTCCGACCTCCAGGCGTGACGACGACCCTCGACCTCCGACGGTGCTTCGACCTTCGCGAGCCTCAACCATTTCCGGCGAGAAGAGGAGCAACCGAGGGCTGACTCTTCACGGCGAGGACGAGCCACCAGCGGCGAGGACGAACAATTCACGATGATACGAGCTCTATTCGCGACTGAGCGGGTTTAGAGCACGGTAGAGTTGCAGCGACCAAATCAAGGCTAAGGCACCACTTTTCTATTGACCGGGGCGGCGAGTTTCGGCAGGGAGAAAGAGAGCAGCCGACCGGAGAGCCAAGAGCAGAAATCCCGGTTGAACCAAACCACCATCGTCCGAAATCAAACGCGACCAGCCATGGGCAACTGCTGTTCAGCCGCCGACGTTTGAGCCATTTCGGACAGCAACCGCGAGCTGAGGTGACTCCTTGTCGATCATTCAACAGCCACAAACTGTGGTATCGAACCGTACCGAGACGAACCGCCCATGGTCTATCGTGCACGCACCGGGCAGCAGCGGCAGAGACGAGCCGACCGCATTCAGGCCGAGTACTGACGAGCTCGTCCGTGGTCTGTACGCGAGTGGCCGAGGCTGCTTTATATCTCGTAGTTTCCCGACGAGAGGTGAATTTCGTAATCTCTTCTTGTTAATTCGTGAGTTCAAATCCTGGTGATGTGAAGTTCGGATCTTACAGGTTGAGGCTAATTGATTGTGTGATTAATTCTTGAATTTCTGCATCCATTTCTTGGCTTGTTGCATAATTGCATAATTACTTGCTGTAATGGCTGAGTTATTGGGTTCAAAAGGTTCAGTGAAGATGATTGTATGGTACATGCTTAGAAGTCTGTTATGTCTTAAGAAATTTTCTGAGTTTATGGATTTTGAACCTTAGTTGTTGTGTTGATTAGAAAGTAGAGAAATGAGTATGTTTATGTGACTTTGTGGCCGAGTTGTTATGTGGTATATATATGTTGAGCCTTATATGAATATTTCATGTTGAGTTGTGAGTGTTTGAAGCTTTTGTTATCAGTTCAAATGGCCCTCAGACTGAGGTTCGAGCATGAGAAAAGGAATAATTGAAAGAGGCTTTATGGTGTATGTTATTAAGTGGTGGTCTTGCTTGTTTCTTGAAGTTTATTCATGTGATTGTTGTTGAGTATATGCATGATTAATCACATTAGTAAATTCAGTTTAAGGCCATGTTACGTGCGGAAGAAAATCGGAGAAAAGAAAGAAGAAAATGAGTAGGGCATGTTTAACTTAGTTGTTTTATGAAGAGGAAAATGAGATATGCTTACGTGTTGTTGGCTCGAGTCTTGCGGTCTGCTTTTGTTGAGTCCGCCATGAGTTTTATATGCCTAAATTCAGATTTTATGTAGAAGTTAAGAGCATGAGTGCGTTATTGAGTATTATGTTGACTTATGTTAAGTATAATTTGCTGGACCTTGTTATTAGGCATATCATGTTGTTGAAGGTTGAAGATTAGTAAGTTGTTGTAGGTTGCTTTTGATATTTTGAGAGAAAGGTGGAAGAGTCCTGTTGTCCTATGCCATGTTTTTATTTTAATTTCTGAGCCTTTTTTATGCACTTGTATGTTGTAGTATGTGTTGTGGGTTCAATTTGATTGTGGCTCTAAGGTGTCCTTGAAGGACGAGAGATAGAGAAGAGAAGGCTATGTCATGTGTCTTTGTATGCTTTAATTGAGTGCTTATGTTTCGTGCCTTATGTGTATGATAATTTTGACTCGTTGTATTTTAGGCTTTGATTGATCATGTTCGGTGTTGAGTCTTGTTATGTGATTTAGTGGTCAAAGTGTGCCTCACTTTCTTGTGTGGTCTAATCAACCCAATCAAAACCCTTAATAAAATCCTTAATTGTTAGGTTTCCGAGGAGTTGAGCTCGCCTTCCTATCGAATTTCTGTGATTTCTCTATTCTCCAGAGACCAGGTGGGTTTTAATCTAAAATTTGCTATGCTATAATTGAGGTAAGATTTTTATATTTTGTTCTATGAATGTATGTGTAAGTCATGAGACGGTGCCTAATGGTGGGCGATCTCCAACCTTGTGATAGGTAGACTCATTTTAGCCTAGTCGATGGGCCGTGACCGTTGATGTTGAACCTCGGCACGACTGTACTCCCGCTGACGAGTTTGGGCTTACCCCTGGCGGCTTATGATAGGTGTGCACCTCATTTATATTTGTGCTCATCCCCACCTGCTCTTCATTGATGCAGGTTAAGCACGTGTTGGGCATGACGAGACTAAAGACGAGTGGGTGGTCAAACATTATTAATGCTTTTTATTGCTTCCGCATGCTTTGATATTTATGTTGGGATTATC